GCTGAGATGGGTTTCCCCACCTCTCCAAAGGGGGCTGTGTTCCATGGGCCCCCCACTCAAAGTCACTCCCATCACAATAAGCATAGCATTAGGATGTGTTTTAAGAGTTAGAAAGGTTAGGTGCCGGATTCTGGTTGTGTTAAGGACTAAGACCCCAATGGAGCAATAATTTGCTTTTAATATGTCATTTGACTTTTTGCTGTTGTGTACACCACCGTGCGTACAGAACGGGAAAAAAAAAAAATGTCTCCTGGAATCACTGTGATAGTAGATGCAGATTATACACAGTGCAGCTGACAGCAGCCTCAGGAGGGAAGCAGATGGGAAGCACTAAAGCTTCTTTTTTTTCCCCCTGGTCAGAATGGGCGGCTTTTCAATATATGGCCAATGACTCTCCTGGTATGACCGAGAGATTTTCACTGCTAATATCCGCGCTCGCAGTGTTTTCATTTCTCCCAGTAAATAGATTGAGCAGCGCGGCTTGTCTGCTGCCCCACAGGTGTCTGGGTAATAGGATGTCTTGGCGGGGCTTATGTCATCTCTCTGATTAATCTCTCCGCCATGATTTATGTTATCGTCCAAAACATCTGGAGCCGGATAACAAGGCCAGCTGGGGAGGGTGAAGAGGATGTCTTTCCCTGCCTGTGGCTGAACCATGCTCAGCGTAGGAACATCGAACCGTCTTCTTTACTTGAACTAAATTGGCGTTACCGCCGTCTGCATAACTAACAATGATTTTAGAATGATCTTCCGGGACGCTTTGCTGTCAAAGACGATTAAAAAATGCAAGATACCAATGTGCAAAGTAAAGGAAAAAGCATAGCGCTGCCCCCAGCCCCCTTTAAGAGTCATTTAGACCGAAAATAATTTGTCCAAAATTGGAAGGACGCTGAAAGGAACAATCCTGCATATGGAGAGGCCCTGGAGATATCTGCTAGAGAAGAATGAAGTGTGTTGGCATTGTCACCCCCAGTCCTTCCCATTGCCCTTCCTCTAAAGGACATCCAGCTCTTTTGCAACATCCCCTTTTCACACCCTCTAGGGGACTACATGCTTTTTCTCTCTGCCTGTTAGGGATCCGGGTATGACCAGAAATGTGTGGACTGACACAGGGAAGTAGCAGGCTTCAGGAACACAGGCGTAGTCAGGCTGGAGAGCTGGAATGGTCAGGCAGGCCGTAAGGTACTGTCAGTGTCTCTAGCAGCCCACAGCACGGATTTCCTCAGGGCGCGGGGTCTAAGTCCCAGCCTGCTATTCACCAGGGCCCCTGATGGTGGGGATGGACTTGGTGCAGACTGGAACCAGGTCGCGACCCCTGAGTGCGTCCGGCTGTGGTAGAGAGTACTGGCAGGGGAGTGCAGGAACGGAGTCTGATGGGAAGAGGCAGGCAGACTTACTAAAGGTGATCCGTGCGGGATAGATGGATCGTCGGGTGAAGTAAGCGTAGTCAGACAGGCCGGGTCTGTATCGTGCGGGCAGCGTGGTACAGGAGGAGCAAGCAGAGAATGGTCGGGGTCACAAGCCAGGTTCAGCAGGTAGCGGGCAGCGCGTACCGAGGATCAGGCAGAAGGATGGTCAGGCAAGCCAGGGGTTCAACAGGAGACGGTCAGCAGAGGTCAGGATCAAAGCAGGGTCAGCAACGAGGCAGGAACACAGGCTACCAGGTACAGGGGCTCATGGGAAATATACACCAAGGCCCTGATCATAGGCTGGTCATTCCTTAAATACACTTCCTGCAATCAGCTTCAGGTGTTGGCTGACTGCAGGAGTGAGCTTCTGGCTGCTGAGAGCACCCGCTGGTCAGCCTTGGTACTGCAGCCCACACGGCAGGTGAGTCCCACCACCAGTGCTGAGTCCATTCCTGACACTGCCCTGTCTCCAATGACCGGAGGCTTTTGTTCCTTTACATTCCAAGGACCACACAGACTCTGTTACTTCTAATTCTTAAGCCCTCAGGCTCTGTTGTTCTGCCCTTTCGAAGACCTCAAGTTCTGTTACCCCAGCCTATAAAAACCACAGGTACCTCCCCTTCCCCCAGGACCACAAGATTTTTCTTCCCTGCCCCTAAGGACCATAAACTCTGTTCCTTCCCATCCCAAAGACCATGCAGCCTCTGTTCCTTCCCATTCTGAAGCCCTCAGGCTCTGTTATTCTGCCCCTTTGAAGACCTCAGGTTCTGTTGCCCCAGCCTATAAAAACTACAGGTACCTCACCTCCCCCAAGGACCACAGGATTTTTCTTCCCTGCTCTAAGGACCATGAACTCTGTTCCTTCCCATCTCAAAGACCGTGCAGCCTCTGTTCCTTCCCATTCTAAAGCCCTTAGGCTCTGTTGTTCTGCCCTTTCGAAGACCTCAAGTTCTGTTACCCCAGCCTATAAAAACCACAGGTACCTCCCTTCCCCCAAGGACCACAGGATTTTTCTTCCCTGCCCCTAAGGACCATGAACTCTGTTCCTTCCCATCCCAAAGACCGTGCAGCCTCTGTTCCTTCCCATTCTGAAGCCCTTCGGCTCTGTTGTTCTGCCCCTTTTGAAGACCTCAAGTTCTGTTACCCCAGCCTATAAAAACCACAGGTACCTCCCCTCCCCCAAGGACCACAGGATTTTTCTTCCCTGCCCCTAAGGACCATGAACTCTGTTCCTTCCCATCCCAAAGACCATGCAGCCTCTGTTCCTTCCCATTCTGAAGCCCTCAGGCTCTTTTGTCCTGCTCTCTCAAGATCTCTAGTTCTGTTCCCCGAGCCCCTAAGGACTATAGGCTCTATTTTCCAACCCCTCATGATCACCAGGATCACATGCTCAGATAACAATCTCCCCCGCATCCTCCAGGGACCACAGACATTGCTGAGGACTACAGGCTTTGTTATTTCCCATCCCAAGGACTACTGACTCTGTTCCTTCCCAACCCAAGGACTACAGGCTCTGTTACATCCCAAGGCTGTGTTATCCTGTCCTCTGAAGACCTTCAGCTCTGTTGCTTGACCCCCTAAAGATCTGTTTCCCTACCCCAAGTATCACAGGCTCTGTTGCCCTCCCCCTCCCTTAAAGACCACAGGCTTTGCTTCCCTACCCCTAAGGACTACAGGCTCCTTTCCTTCTCATCCCAAGGACTACATGCTTTGCTCCTTCCCATTCCAAAGACTACAGGCTCTGTTCTTTCCCATCTCAAATAGTACAAGCTCTGTTCCTTCCCATCCCAAGGACTACAGGCTCCGTTCCTTCCCATCCTAAGGACTACAGACTCTCTTCCCTCCCATCCCCAGGACTACAGGCTCTGTTTCTTTCCAATTACTGCAAGCTCCGTTACTTCCCATCCCAAATATTACAGGCTCTGTTACTTCCCATCCCAAGGACTACAGGCTCTTTTCCCTCCCGCATCAAGACCATCAGGCTTTGTTGTCCTTCCCTCCTAAGGAGAAGGACAACAGAGGAGACCACAGGCTTTGTTTCCCCACCCCCCTGTATTACAGAATGCATTGCTCCCCTTCCCCTAAGTATTACAGGCTTTGTTTCTCATAGGGACTACAGGTTTTGTTCTTTCCCATTCCAAAGCCCTTAGGTTCTGTTGTCCTGTCCTACAAAGACCTTCAGCTCTGTGGCTCGACCCCCTAAGGACCACAGACTCTGTTTCCCTACCCCCCAGGACTACAGGCTCTTTTCTTTCTCATCCCAAGGACTACAGGCTTTGTTCCTTCCCATCCCATGGACTACAGGCTGTGTCGCTTTCCATCCCATTGACTAGATGCTGTGTTCCTTCCCATCCCAAGGACTAAAGGCTCTGTTCCTTCCCATCTCAAAGCCCTTAGGTTCTGTTGCCCTGTCCTCCAAAGACCATCAGCTCTGCTGCTCGACACCATAAGGACCACAAGCTCAGTTTCCCTACCCCCTAGTATCACAGGTTCAGTTGCCCACCCTCAAGGGCCACAGGCTTTGCTTCCCTGCCCCTAAGGACTACGGTCATTTTTTTTCTTCCCTTCTCATGGACTACAGACTATGTTCCTCCCCATCCCAATGACTACAGGCTCTGTTCCTTCCCATCCCAATGACTACAGGCTCTGTTCCTTCCCATCCCATGGAATACAAGCTCTGTTCCTTCCCATCCCATGGAATACAGGCTCTGTTCTTTCCCATCCCAAGGCCCTTAGGTTCTCTTGTACTGTCCTCCGAAGACCTTCAGCTCTGTGGCCCGACTCAAGGAACACAGGCTCTGTTTCCCTACCTCCCAGTATCACAGGCTCAGTTGCCCTCCCCCTCCTTTAAGGAACACATGCTTTGCTTCCCTGCCCCTAAGGACTACAAGCTTTGTTCTTTCCCATCCCAAGGTCTACAGGCTTCTTTCTTTCCCATCCCAAGGACTACAGGCTTGTTACTCCCTGCTCCTGAGGACTAGTCCCTGTTCCTTCCCAATCAAAGGACTATATTCTTTGTTCCCTCCCAACTCATAGCCCTCAAGAAAATAGGCCACGTGCAGTTGATGGTAGGAGGTCTTCTCCCTGCCTTCTGAAGATTCCAGTTCTGTGGTCCAACCCAATAAGGATCACTGGCCCTGCTTCCCTACACCCCCCCCCCCCCCCCCCCCCAGTATCACAAGCTCAGTTACCCCACCCCCAAGGACCACAGGCTTTATCTTCCCTGTAATATGGGTTTTTTTCCTTCCCATCCCAAGAACTACACGGTCTGTTGCCCGGCTTCCATTGACCATAACCTGTATTGTCCTGCTCCCCCAAGGGAACAAACTCACACCATTGTAGGTACTCAGTTCAGCCTGAGCCCAGCAGTGGATATGGGAATGTCTTTATATAAGCAGTTTTAAACACTTAATATAATATAATTTTATGGAGGAATCTCTTAAATGATTAATAATAATGAATTTCAGTAGTGAAAGACTAATTACGCATTTCTGATGATTTTTTGTTTTCTGTTCTACAGCATACTATTATCTTTACCAGTAAAATGGACTTTCTTTTCTAAGTATCTCCATGTTGTTTTATCTTCTTTAGATGCCGGCGGAGTCTCTAAAGATGCCATTTCTTCAGACCTGCCTGGCAGGCTTCACATCAACGCCGTGTACCAGTACGTTAACGCGGAGCGCCTACAACACGCGCTGGCCTTCGACACGAGATTCATGAGCGAATTCATGGAGCATAGGAAGTTCACAGGTCAGGAGGTCCTCTGTCATCAAAAGGGCAGGGATACTGGTGACATCAAGGTCCCCAACAGTGTCCCTCCTTATATCATTGTCCCCAACTGCATCCTCCTTACATCAGTGTCCCCATCATAGTCCCCCTTACATCAGAGTCCATACAAAGTCCCCATTACATCAAGGTCCCCAACGGTGTCCCTCCTTATATCATTGTCCCCAACCGCATCTCCCTTACATCGGTGTCCCATCATAGTCCCCCCTACATCAGCGTCCATACAAAGTTCCCTTATATCACAGTATCCATCAAAGTCCTCATTACATCAAGGTCCCAAACAGTGTCCCTCCTTATATCTTTGTCCCCAACCGCATCCCCCTTACATCGGTGTCTCCATCATAGTCCCCCCTACATCAGAGTCCATACAAAGTCCCCATTACATCAAGGTCCCCAAAGGTGTCCCTCCTTATATCATTGTCCCCAACCGCATCCCCTTATATCAGTGTCCCCATCATAGTCCCCTTACATCAGAGTCCATACAAAGTTCCCTTATATCACAGTATCCATTAAAGTCCCCATTACATCAAGGTCCCCAACAGTGTCCCTCCTTATATCATTGTCCCCATCATAGTCCCTCCTACATCAGAGTCCATACAAAGTCCCCTTATGTCACAGTATCCATCAAAGTCCCCATTACATCAGGTCCCCAACAGTGTCCCTCCTTATATCATTGTCCCCAACCGCATCCCCTTACATCAGTGTCCCCATCATAGTCCCCCCTACATCAGAGTCCATACAAAGTCCCCATTACATCAAGGTCCCCAACAGTGTCCCTCCTTATGGATGGCTTCCTGTCACGCCATCCATTGTATACAATTATATTGTTAGCTGGGACTGGTCAAGGCAGTCACATGATACAGACGGAGCCAATCACAGCCCATCTGTATCATGTGATCAGCTTTGCCCAATCACAGCTAATCACAACAAAAGACTGAATGAATCAAAAAAGTCCTTTTAACATATATTTTTACGTATATTTGTAAATGCATTCCAAAAATGTAAAAATACAGATCTACATTTTTTGGAATGCATTTACAAATATATGTAAAAATATGTTAAAAGGACTTTTTTATATGTTAAAAAACATCTGAACAATGTATTTTTAAAAAATATATATTTTTAGAAATACATATTTTTTTAAATATATTCTTCAGATTTGTTTTAAATTTGTTATATATATATATATATATATATATATATATATATATGTGTGTGTATAAAATGCATTTTTTATATATTCCAAAATACATGAAAAAATATTTTTAAAATATATATTTTTTTAAAATATATTCTTCAGATTTGTTGTAACATATAAAAAAAATAATTTTAACATATTTTTACATATATTTGTCAATGCATTCCAAAAATGTAGATTTGTATTTGTAAAGACATACAGTATAATTGAAATGTATTTTTAAAAATATTTTTCCTATATTTTGTAATAAAAACGCATTTCAACATACAGTGTGTATATAACATATAAATATATTTTGAAATATATTGAATTGGCCAAAATTGTAGCATTTCAAATATATTTTTCTTCCATGTGGGTTGTAACAATAATGTTTGATGTTTTATTGTAATACAGTTGCGGTGCTGACCCAATCAGAAAAGATGTATGGTCTCTGAATAGTATAAAGGTCCAATCATAGGTCAGGTGTAATTGCTAGTTGCCAGTTTTGTGTCCGCCGCACTCCCTTGGCTTTTCTTAGTGGTGTCACAGTAAGTGGTGTCACCATCAGTTTGTACATTCATCCTGCGTCACCTTATTTCCTCTTCATCTTCACAGATGTCATAGTGAACCCCTGGGAAAGGGACAGCAGCGGAAGGCAAACCCGCGTTCTCAATTATACCATTCCCATTAATAATCCACTGGGACCAAAAACCGCCCCTGCAGTGGAGACTCAGGTATGTCGACTGTCAGACCTTTAAACCGAATAGAGGAATCATCCAAGCCTGAACGGGATTTGTTCAAAGCCCCGGCCCCATTTTCACACTGATATTATACTTGCCAATGTGAACACCTTAATGGCCATTAAAGGCAAAGCAACAGGTTCATTCTGCAGCTCTCCTTAAGGTCTAGTCTACACTTGCGTTTGTGGTGTTTCAGGTGTGTTGGCAGGTTGCTAGGAAATGTTTTGTGGCCAAGGAACAAGGTTGAAATTCAGTCTTCGACCCAGACTCTACTGGCCTTCTAAAATGCAGGCAGGCACGGTTGACCTGAGAGCAAATTTTGTGAAATTTTGGGTTATCTCCAGTTCCAAATTAAAAACCAAAAAACTTATCACAAACCTATAAAAGTTAAAAATGTTTTTTTTTGGCTAACGCCTTCTTTTTTCAATCCCCAGACTCTCTACAATCTAAAGGGCTCGGTGTTTGTCCTAGACACCCAAGTCATAACCCAGGGCATCCCGTACTGGGATTATTTTTACACTGCACATGGGTCTTTGTGTGTTAGCAGGTTGCTAATAAATGTTTTCTGACCAAGGAACAAGGTTGAAATTCAGTCTTCACCCAGACTCTACTGGCCTTCTAAATTATAGGCAGGCATGGTTGACCTGAGAGCAAATTTTGTAAAATGTTGGGTTATCTCCAGTTCCAAAAAAAACCCCAAAAAACTTATCACAAACCTATAGGAGTTAAAAACTTTTTTTTTGGGGTAACACCATCTCTTTTCAATCTCCAGACTCTCTACAATCTAAAGGGCTCGGTGTTTGTCCTAGACACCCAAGTCATAAAGCAGGCATCCCGTACCAGGATTATTTTTACACTGTACATGGGGTCTTTGTGTGTTGGCAGGTTGCTAGAAAATTTTTTCTGACCAAGGAACAAGGTTGAAATTCAGTTTTCGACCCAGACTCTACTGGCCTTCTAAAATGCAGGCAGGCACGGTTGACCCGAGAGCAAATTTTGTGAAATTTTGGGTTATCTCCAGTTCCAAATTAAAAACCAAAAAACTTATCACAAACCTATAAAAGTTAAAAACGTTTTTTTTTGGCTAACACCATCTCTTTTCAATCTCCAGGCTCTCTACAATCTAAAGGGCTCAGTGTTTGTCCTAGACACCCAAGTCATAACCCAGGTCATCCCGTACCAGGATTATTTTTACAATGCCCACTGGGTCTTTGTGTGTTAGCAGGTTGCTAATGTTTTCTGACCAAGGAACAAGGTTGAAATTCAGTCTTCCACCCAGACTCTACTGGCCTTCTAAAATGCAGGCAGGCACGGTTGACCTGAGAGCAAATTTTGTAAAATGTTGGGTTATCTCCTGTTCCAAAAAAAAACCCCAAAAACTTATCACAAACCTATAGGAGTTAAAATCTTTTTTTTTTGGCTAACACCATCTCTTTTCAATCTCCAGACTCTCTACAATCTAAAGGGCTCGGTGTTTGTCCTAGACACCCAAGTCATAAAGCAGGGCATCCCGTACTGGGATTATTTGTACACTACACACGGGGTCTTTGTGTGTTGGCATGTTGCTAGGAAATTTTTTTCTGACCAAGGAACAAGGTTGAAATTCAGTCTTTGACCCAGACTCTACTGGCCTTCTAAAATGCAGGCAGGCACGGTTGACCTGAGAGCAAATTTTGTAAAATGTTGGGTTATCTCCAGTTCCAAAAAACCCCCCAAAAAACTTATCACGAACCTATAGGAGTTAAAAATTTTTTTTTTGGCTAACACCATCTCTTTTCAATCTCCAGACTCTCTACAATCTAAAGGGCTCGGTGTTTGTCCTAGACACCCAAGTCATAACCCAGGGCATCCCGTACCAGGATTATTTTTACACTGCACATCGGTACTGCATCTCCGGCGTGGCCAAGAATAAAGCTCGTCTCAGGTACCCACTCATGAGTCACTTCCGCCTACAGATTTCGCCAACACTCCTGATGGCTAGAAGAGAGCCCACTGTGCGGCACACCAGCCCTATGTTTAATCATCATAGATCCCCCTCAGCTGCTGTCCTCCGCAGCGACTGACAGCTCATTAAAGGCTCCCCCTCCCCCACTGTGAGCTATCACGATTGTGACAGACTGATGTCTTTTATTCTGCCGCCTACATATCATATTCATCATCCCTAGCAGCTAAAATGTATTTCATTACAAATGCCGACTAATGCTCCTCCACCTGCCAAAAATAGTCGTTTTGCACAGTGATAAAATGTTTCAAATGATAATTCTTCTCATTATTTAGCTATAAGTTCTACTTCTCTCTCACATAGTTACTTGTTATTGGTTAAAGCCAGACTCCTGGTGGATATAAAAGACACAAACAAATGCAGCTCATTAATATATCCTCACATGTACAAGTACCTGACTTTGACTTGATATTAGCCTCTTGCTGTCCCTGTACAGAAGAGCTCAGAGGGAGAAGCAACGCAAGGAGCCAATCAGTTGCTTCAGTGCTAACAATGAACATGTTGATAGGTGGAGAGAGCAGGGTGACAGGGAGAGGATATCATCAGGAGTAGGAACAGAGACAGGAAATAATGTAGAGATGTCCCCACATGGGGTCCTCCAAAGAACCCTGCAGTTGAATCAGTCCAGTGATCTTCACTTGTTCTTGTAATACCACTTTTGAGTGGATTGACTTTGTAAAAACTTTTCTTGTTTCCACATTCAGTCTAGTTTGGTGTGCACAATATTCACTGCTTTCTGTTCATTGCCTTAGGGTGTCCTCAGAGATATGTTACCGAAAACAGCCTTGGAGCCTGGTACGGACGATCATCGAGAAGAACTCCTGGAGTGGGATGGAGGAGCACTTTTCTCTTCTAGGTAGGTCACTTGCCCGTCTGTAGAGAAGTTTTAGGAAGTTTGGCATCTGAAGTTATTTTCCAAATTGTCAAAAGGCTGTTGGTGATTTTAAGTAGAAACTTGTGGGTTAAAAAACATCCCTTATCTCCCGGTGACTCCGGCAGTGAGCTGTCACAAGATCATTCTCATTGATGCCTTTTTGAAGGCAAGCGCTGGAGTAAAGGGAACTTGTGGTGATCCAGCCACCTGAGAGCTTGTAGCAACCTAGTCAGTCAATGAACTGGTACAGTGGAAACTCATGGTGACCCAATCAGTTGGTGAACTTGTACATTGGAAACTTGAGGTGACCCAACCAGTCAGTGAACTGGTACAGTGGAAACTCATGGTGACCCAGCCAGTTGGTGAACTGGTACATTAAAAACACGAGGTGATCCAACCAGTCAGTGAACTGGTACAATGGGAACTCATAGTGACCCAGTCAGTTGGTGAACTGGTACATCGGAAAGACATGGTGACCCAACTAATCAGTGAACTGGCACAGTGGGAATTCATGGTGACCCAGTCAGTTGGTGAACTGGTAAATCGGAAAGACACGTGACCCAACTAATCAGTGAACTTGCACAGTGGGAACTCATGGTGACCCACCCAGTCAAGTTGGTGAACTGGTAAATGGTGAACCCAACTAATCAGTGAACTTGCACAGTGGGAACTCATGGTGACCCAGTCAGTTGGTGAACTGGTAAATCGGAAAGACACGTGACCCAACTAATCAGTGAACTGGCACAGTGGGAACTCATGGTGACCCAGTCAGTTGGTGAACTGGTAAATCGGAAAGACACGTGACCCAACTAATCAGTGAACTGGCACAGTGGGAACTCATGGTGATCCAGTCAGATGGTGAATTGGTACATTGGAAAGATGAGGCGACCCAACCAGTCAGTGAACTAGTACAGTGGGAACTCATGTGACCCAGTCAGTTGGTGAACTGGTTCATTGGAAAGATGAGGTGACCCAAACAGTCAGTGAACTGGCACAGTGGGAACTCATGGTGATCCAGTCAGTTGGTGAACTTGTACATTGGAAACTCGAGGTGACCCAACCAGTCAGTGAACTGGTACAGTGGAAACTCATGGTGACCAGTCAGTTGGTGAAACTGGTACATCGGAAAGACATGGTGACCCAACTAATCAGTGAACTGGCACAGAGTGGGAACTCATGGTGACCCAGTCAGATGGTGAATTGGTACATTGGAAAGATGAGGCGACCCAACCAGTCAGTGAACTAGTACAGTGGGAACTCATGTGACCCAGTCAGTTGGTGAACTGGTTCATTGGAAAGATGAGGTGACCCAACCAGTCAGTGAACTGGCACAGTGGGAACTCATGGTGACCCAGTCAGATGGTGAATTAGTACATTGGAAAGATGAGGTGACCCAACCAGTCAGTGAACTAGTACAGTGGGAACTCATGTGACCCAGTCAGTTGGTGAACTGGTTCATTGGAAAGATGAGGTGACCCAACCAGTCAGTGAACTGGCACAGTGGGAACTCATGGTGACCCAGTCAGTTGGTGAACTGGTACTCTGGAAAGACGAGGCGACCCAACAGGTCAGTGAACTGGTACAGTGGGAACTCATGGTGACCCAATCAGTTGGTGAACTTGTACATTGGAAACACGAGGTGACTCAACTAGTCAGTGAACTGGTACAATGGGAACTCATGGTGACCCAGTCAGTTGGTGAACTGGTACATTGGAAACACAAGGCGACCCAACCAGTCAGTGAACTGGTACAATGGGAACTCATGGTGACCCAGTCAGTTGGTGAACTGGTACATTGGAAAGGCGAGGTGACCCAACCAGTCAGTGAATTGATACAGTGGGAACTCATGGTGACCCAGTCAGCCAGTAAACAGGTACATTAGAGAAATAGGGTGACAAGTCAATGAGCTGATGAATCTCCAAAAGTGAGATCCCCCCATCATGAAAAAAAATGTCTACACCTGGAATAGTGGAGTTCGGAAAGTACACACAAGTGCATCAGAATTCCTGACCACGAAAATGGGACTCTGACTAAACCGTTTTTGAACAGAGTAGGTAAAGTAAAGATAGAAGCCCCGGTGGCAAAGTTTGCCTTCACTTTCTGTGTGGTCACTGAAGAAGCAATTTCCCCAGGGGACTGAGACAATAAAAGCCTGACAGAGGTTCCAAGCAGTATTGCTCCCCCCAAAACTAAAAGATAAAGTTTGGCTGGATTGAAGCATAATATTGACCACGGCTCACCAAAACTTGCTGGTTTAAAGCTGAACTCTGGTCACAAAAACATTCATTTCAGTACATTCCCTAATAGCTGCAAAGGATTAAAGAGGCACAGATCAATGTAGCTCGCCATGTAATAAAATATAGTTTCTTAATTTAATACATCATTTATACAGCATTGTAAGTACTTGAATTTGACTTGGTATTGGCCTCTTGCTGTCCCTGTACAGCAGAGCTCAGACTGGGAGAGGGAGAAAAAAGCATAAGGAGCCAATGAAGTGTGCTGCATTAAAATGAGCATTCTGATAGGAGGAAAGAGCAGAACAACATCAATCTACTGCTTCTCCTTTCACTGTCCAGTCACAGGTTGGGGGCTCGTCCGGGATGAGGTAGTCTCTGAGAAAGTGGATTGAAAATGTATGTTTACTTCTTATTTTGTCTAAGGGCAACTTTGGATTTGAGAGTCAGAGAGTCAATGTCCAGTCATATGCTGGGGGAGGGACAAAACCTGTAAGTGTTGCCAAATCGCAACAGAGGAGAAACAGTTCTCCTGCCCTGCCAGACAAGGACGTGCCGTTTGGCAGAGCTGTTTATATCTCAAGACTGTTACATTGGAAACTCGAGGTGACCCAACCAGTCAGTGAACTGGTACAGTGGAAACTCATGGTGACCCAGTCAGTTGGTGAACTTGTACATTGGAAACTCGAGGTGACCCAACCAGTCAGTGAACTGGTAACAGTGGAAACTCATGGTGACCCAATTGGTGAACTTGTACATTGGAAACTCAGGTGACCCAACAGTCAGTGAAATGGTACAATGGGAACTCATAGTGACCCAGTCAGTTGGTGAACTGGTACATCGGAAAGACATGGTGACCCAACCAATCAGTGAACTAGTACAGTGGGAACTCATGTGACTCAGTCAGTTGGTGAACTGGTTCATTGGAAAGATGAGGTGACCCAACCAGTCAGTGAACTGGCACAGTAGGAACTCATGGTGACCCAGTCAGTTGGTGTGAACTGGTACACTGGAAAGACGAGGCAACCCAACAGGTCAGTGAACTGGTACAGTGGGAACTCATGGTGACCCATCAGGTGAACCCAGTCAGTTGGTGAAACTCATGTACATTGGTGAAACTTGTACATTGGAAACTCGAGGTGACCCAAATGGACTAAACTGTTTTTGGACAGTGTAGGTAAAGTAAAGATAGAAGCCCCAGTGGCCCCTTGCTGTCCCTGTACAGCAGAGCTCAGACTGGGAGAGGGAGAAAAAGCATAAGGAGCCAATCAAGTGTGCTGCATTAAAATGAGCATTCTGATAGGAGGAAAGAGCAGAACAACATCAATCTACTGCTTCTCCTTTCACTGTCCAGTCACAGGTTGGGGGCTCGTCCGGGATGAGGTAGTCTCTGAGAAAGTGGATTGAAAAATGTATGTTTACTTCTTATTTTGTCTAAGGGCAACTTTGGATTTGAGAGTCAGAGAGTCACTGTCCAGTCATATGCTGGGGGAGGGACAAAACCTGTAAGTGTTGCCAAATCGCAACAGAGGAGAAACAGTTCTCCTGCCCTGCCAGACAAGGACGTGCCGTTTGGCAGAGCTGTTTATATCTCAAGACTGGATGGACAGAAATACAAATCCTTTGGCAGTTAAAACAGCTCCCTTCTATGTATTTTATCTGCGTTTTTAGCTGTGTGCCCGGAGTTTGGCTTTGATCTGTAATCCAGCGACATAGGTAGGTATTCATACTAGCTGCAGACATCATTGTTTTAAAGAAGGTTTTTAGGCTCAGCAAAAAGTGAAACCAGCCATCGCTCTCCGCAGGTTTCCAGATTGGTTGTGTTAAAGTGTAAACACTCCAGTTATTCCAGGTATTGCCGCGCTCGGGAACGTCGAGCCTTTGATGTATTATTAATGTCCATTAGTGGATTTAGCGGTGCTTTTGTTCCGTGCTCTAAGTTATCCTGACCCCGCTGAGCCCACGTAACGTTTGTGCGAATGCAAATATAAATATTACATGTGGAATGATGTAGGCGGCTGGTAAACATAGCTGGAAGGAAGGGGAGCAGGTGAGGGCTGTGGAAGCCCTGAGCCCTTATCTGAAGTCAGCCATGTAGACTAGTGTTGTCACAGATACACACGATTTACAAAGATCAATGATAGAATTACACATTTTTTTACCACCATTTTATTGTGCTAGGGGTTTTTTTCTATTATAAAAATAAAAATGGAAGACTAATTGTTGGGTTGTCAATGCCTTGAAGCGTCCTGTAAGGGAGAGGGGGCAGCATAGTGGGCCAATCAGAGCTCATTAGCTTTACACAGTCCTATCATTCACAGTGTCAACATGCTTACATGAGGAGAGGAATCAATATACTGCTTCTCTTTCATTGGCCGATCACAGGTTGGGGGGGGGGGGGGTCTTGGACCTAGCTGAAGCAGGCCATACATGGTTCGAATTCCAAATGATTTTTTGATCAAAAATCAAAAACATAATTCGTTCTGTAATCCAATGGTGCCACCAATGATTTCGAAAATCAGTCGTTTTTCACAAATTTTTCAACATGCCTGATAAACAAAAAATGGGGAGGAACCACAAAAATCATCCGGTGCCATTGCCCCACTAATAGAGTGAAAATTGGGCGATTATTCTTAGGTCCGATTTTCGAAAGAAAAACCATTTGGAAATCGACCCATGTATGGCCGGCCTGAGTTGCATTTCTGATGTTTAGTTCACAGCAGAGATTCTCAGACAGTTTTTCTCTGGAGGTAGCTAGAGATTCCATGAACGGTGAGTAATGATTTCCCTCCTACAATGACTGCCAAAGTAAGGCCGGACATACATGAGTTTATTTCCGAACGATTTTTCATTTGAAAATCGGACCAAAGAATAATCGATCGATTTTTCGCTCTGTTAGTGGGGCAATGGCAACGGCCGATTTTCGTGGTTCCTCCCCATTTCGTTTATTGGGCATGTTGGAAAATTTGTGAAAAACAAACGATTTTCAAAATCATTGGTGGCACCAACGGATTACAAAACGAACGACGGTTTCGATTTCGTTTTGAAAAATCGTTCGGAATTCGACCCATGTATGGCCTGCTTTAGGGGCAATTAACTACTGACATTCAATGTAAGGGGTGACATCTACACTCTTTTACCAGTGCAAGGGTTTTTTTTTCACTGGTCACCAATATAAAGGAGCAGTTCTCCACTGACCAACAATATGAAGGGGCGGTTCTCCACTGACCAACAATATAAAGGGGCAGTTCTCACTGACCAACAATATAAAGGGGCAGTTCTCCACTGACCAACAATATAAAGGGGCAGTTCTCCACTGACCAACAATATAAAGGGGAAGTTCTCCACTGACCAACAATATAAAGGGCAGTTCTCCACTGACCAACAATATAAAGGGCGTTCTCCACTGACCAACAATATGAAGGGGCAGTTCTCCACTGACCAACAATATAAAGGGGCAGTTCTCCACTGACCAACAATATAAAGGGGCAGTTCTCCACTGACCAACAATATAAAGGGGCGGTTCTCCACTGACCAACAATATAAAGGGGCAGTTCTCCACTGACCAACAAAATAAAGGGGCAGTTCTGCACTGACCAACAATATAAAGGGGCAGTTCCACCACTGACCGACAACATAAAGGGGAAGTTCTCCACTGACCAACAAAATAAAGGGGCAGTTCTCCACTGACCAACAATATAAAGGGGCAGTTCTCCACTGACCGACAATATAAAGGGAAAGTTCTCCACTGACCAACAAAATAAAGGGGCAGTTCTGCACTGACAAACAAATAAAGGGGCAGTTCTCCACTGACCAACAATATGAAGGGGCGGTTCTCCACTGACCAACAATATAAAGGGGCAGTTCTCCACTGACCAACAAAATAAAGGGGCAGTTCTCCACTGACCAACAATATAAAGGGCAGTTCTCCACTGACCAACAATATAAAGGGGCAGTTCTCCACTGACCAACAATATAAAGGGGAAGTTCTCCACTGACCAACAAAATAAAGGGATATTTATTCACTGACCAACAATTTAAGGGGGCATTCTCCATTGACCACAAATGTAAGGGGGATCTCTCCGCTAAGCAACAATTTAGGGGGCATTTCTCCATTGACCAACATGTAAGGGGGTGTTTCTCCACTAACCACCAATGTAAAAGGTACTTTTCCACTGAACATCAATGTGGGGGGGGATCTCTCCACTGACCACCAATGTAAGGAGGGCATTTCTACACTCATCGCCAGTGTAGGGGGGACATTTCTCCACTGACCACCTACGCATGGGTGCCTTTCAACATTGATTACCAAGGTAAGGGTGCCCTTCTCCACTGCCACCAATGTAAGAGGCACTTCTCCACTGAACATCAATGTAAGGGGGCATTTCTCCACTGGCCAACAATATAAAGGGGTATTTCTCCACTGACCAACAATTTAAGGGGACATTCTCCATTAACCTCCAATGTAAGGGGATCTCTTTACTGACCACCAATGTAAGAAGGAATTTCTCCACTGATCACCAATGTAGGGGGGACATTTCTCCACTGAGCACCAATGTAAGGGGTCATTCTTCCACCGACCACCAATGTAAGGGTGCCCTTCTCCACTGGCCGCCAATGTAAGAGGCACTTCTCCACTGGCCACCAATGTAAGGGTGCCCTTCTCCACTGGTCACCAATGTAAGAGGCACTTCTCCACTGAACATCAATGTAAGGGGGTGTTTCTCCATTGCCCAACAATTTAAGGGGGCATTCTGCATTGACAGGTTTGTCATATTCTCCACTAACCACTAATGTAAGGGTTACTTTTCCACTGAATATCAATGTAAGGAATTATTTCTCCACTGACCAACAATGTAAGGGGGCATTTTTTCACTGGCCCCCAACTAAATGGTGCCCTTCTCTACTGGCAACCAATGTAAGAAGCACTTCTCCTCTGAACATCAATGTAAGGGGGCATTTTTCCTCTGACCACCATGTAAGAGGTCAGTTCTCCACTAATCACCAATGTAAGGGGACATTTCTCAGCTGAACACCAATGTAGGGTGGAGTTTCTCCATTTACCACCAATGTAAGGCGCCATTTTTCCACTGGCAACCAATGAAAGATGATACTTTTCCATTAATGACTAGTCTAAACTTAGATTACACCTTTCAATCTGTGTTTCTTTTCTGATCATCATTTATTATGGACATATAGAGGGGGATTTACTAAGACGAGGGCAGCCAGAAACTGAAGCAGCTTTAAATGGTAACCCACCAGCTTAAAGCTTTAATTTTCAAATCTTAACTGGACCAGCTGAAGTTAGAAGCTGATTGGTTACTATGCACAACTACTATTGATTCTGTCTGCTCCATTTTAATACGTTCATTCCACAGAGTAAAGGGATGTTATAAAATAATTGGCTGCAAGTATAAAATATTCCAGGTTGGTCATATTTTTTATTATTTCATTTAAAACATTCATCAGCCTTCGTATCTTGCTACCTTGCCCTGAAACAAAGCAGGGGTTCCTTGAGACCTCCACATTATATCAAGGGTTCCTCCATAGTGAAACCTTTGAGAAGGGCTGGTCTACAATAAGGTGCAGGGACTAGATGTATTGTCTGAAAGGATGCCTGAATCACAGGACTGGCTAAGCAGAATATTTAGTTCTGTATCTAGTTGTTTCCTGAAGACTAGATTAGATACATTTATAGAGAAAGTAGGAGAACCCTTTAAACGTCTGCCTTTGACCCCCACCTACGTCTTCATTAGTGTTCTCCTGTTGACTTACTTCTTTATTTTACTCCTACACCATCTCAGCCGATGCAGTCGTCAAGTTTGAACAGTCCTGCGTGGAGGAGTTGGGCGGAAGAGAAAAACCAACCTTACGCCGCCGCAAGCGGACGCTGAGCTGGAAAAACCATCACAACGACCCACTGAATGTTGCCCCTCCACCGCTGGAGAGTGAGAGGGCAGCCCGCCACTCTAGAACGTCCGGTAAGAAAAAAAACAGTAAAGGGTTGACGACAGTGGATGTTCTTCTGCTAAATTTGATGTTTATTTTTGGAAATCCTCAGTCCCGGTTGACCTCGTTAGCGTGAGGACCGTTGGGCTGTCTCTAATCCAATTACTGCGTGCTGTAGTTAAGGTTACCGTGCTCTTGCTTTGGTAATTAGAACTTAAAGTTTGTAATAATCTTCCAGATTTATCATTTCTGTTCGCCTGTAATTAAAGGGCAGCACACCTTGGGAACACTGTCCTTATTTCTCTAATGCCAGCTCCATCCACAACTAATATTGCAGATATGGGTAGGGAAAATAACGTTCTTGATTGGTATATGACCAAAGTAGGGATTTTTCCCCACATTTGGCTCTTTTCAAGAAGGCAATCAAAGGTGGGTTCCATAAATGTGGCAATTCCTTTGGAAAGGAGTGAGAGCACCATGATTTTGAAATGGTCATAAAAGCTGGACCAGGCAAGAAATTCTGGAGGTGGCCCACAGAATATCTGAGACCTAGACTGTTAGTATTCAAGTCAGCTTGCCAAAAATGATAACATATTGAAACACTACATGGCCTAAAATATGTCACAGCCCTCCCAATTATTGAGTGCGGGGGGTTCAAAGCCAAACTTAGGTTGAAGGGTTTGGTATAGAGGAACTCAAGTGGCCTGGACAGACCTCTGAACTCCACCCTACTGAACACCTTTGGGATGAATTGGGACATTGATTGTGAGCCAAGTCTTCTCATCCAACATCACTACCTGGCATTACTAGTACTGCAGTACTGGGCAGGCAGACTAACTTTCTGGATTGTTATATTGCTTACTTCCCAAAAAGCCATAACAATGGCAACCCAGGGGCGGACTGACCATTTGGAAACTCGGGCACTGCCCGAGGGTCCGGGGTCACTAGGGGGCCCCATAAGATGCCCCTGGTACCTTTTTCATAGGCTTTTTTGAGTTTGGGCAAGGACACAGGGGCCCCATGATCTCCTATTGCCCGGTGGTCCCATGAGTTGTCAGTCCGCCCCTGGCATCACCATCACAAGTGGATTCATCGTATATGACGAATCCAGTGGCAAAGTCTGAGACCAAAATGGTTTTGTAAAGGTCATAAAAGCTGGACCAGGTGGGGAATTCTGGCCTACAGAATGTCTGAGACATAGATAATCAATATTCATGTCACCTTGCCAAAGATTACAATATGCTGAAATACACTATATGGCCAAATATATGTTGCAACCCTCCAAATTATTGAGTTTAGGTGCCCAAAACCAGCTCCATAATGGCCTAGGTTAATCAGTTTGGTTTGGAGGAACTCAAGTGGATTGGACATAGCTCTGACCTAAACCCTACTGAATACCATTGGGATGAATCTGAAAGTCGATTGTGAGCCAGGTCTTCTCACCCAACCTGACACAAGTAATATTGCAGTTTTGGGCAGGCAGAATAGCTTTCTGTATTGTTATATTTCTTACTGACCAATGTAACAAGTCTTCTGCAGAATATTTTGTCTCTTTCCCAGAAGACCATAACAAAGACATTACTATAACTGGTGTATACTTAAAAAATGTTTCTGCCGTACATTTTGGTGAATCCATTGGAGAAGGTTGACAATACCATTTGGCTTTGCAGTGGTCATCAAAGCTCCGGCAGAGAATTCTGGTGGGGACTTTTGGCTTTCCAAATTATTGAGTTCAGGTGCCCAAAGCCAGCTCCTGAGAGACATGCTATGAGGAGTCTGGTGTGGTGAAACTCAAGTGGCCTGTAAGGAGCCCCAATATCAACCCTACTCAAATCCCTTTGGATGAACTGGAACACCCAAGCCAGGTCTTCTTGTCCAACATCAGTATTTGACATCACAAATGAACACAAATTCATTTGTGAGTTGCCATGCGTTTGGAATGGGATGTCCAAAGGGATGTCCATTAAGATCATATGGGTGTGATGGTCAAGTTTCCAACAACAGTAGGCCATATAGTGTAGCATTATTGGGTGGGTATGGCTTCTCGGCCTTTTGGCTAAGATCCAGTGTAGTATCTGTTCTTATCGGTGTCCAGTAGGAGTGCTCTGCCGCCATTCTTGCTTTTTGGCTAGGATGGCTGGCTGCATAGTACCCCTGCTGGTATGATGGGGGCTCTGAAGGCTAGTACCGGCTGGAAGAAAAACTGAGACGCACACAGGCTGTTGGGGCCCAGGAGTAATTTCCCCCGGGAAAATTGGAAGGGCCCAGTTCTTCCTAATTTGAATGGATCTACCTTGTCTGGCCAGAGCCTGGGGAGGCAGAGAGTCTGCGGAGCAGTGCCCCTTGAGTGGTCATCTCAGGGGCGTTCTTAGTAGCACATGGGGGTGGGATCCCAAGTGTGAAAAATGCACATGGTCACTGTTACAAATACTTTTTTGCACTGCCACTTTTAGAACTAGGCCTTTTTCTCACTAAGTCCAGGGCAAATTTTTGCTACGGGCCTCAGGGCCTGCCCATGAAGTCTAGGGGGAGGATGCGTGGCCATTTAGGGGGAGGATAAGTTTTTTCTTCCTCCCCTGTTTCCTGGGGGGGGGGGGGCTCTTTTTCGGGAGAGAAAGGGGTCGCCCTTTTGACCTAGTACTTGGTGGTCACTTTCAGCTTTGGCTAGCCACAAGGAAAGGGGTCCACCAGGCCTCTTTTGGCTAGGTGGACCATGATGGGTAACCTTTGTCCCTGTCAGGAGTTCTTGCGCCCCCTGGGTTCGGGGTAGAGGTGGTCGGCTTCGGCTAGCCACAAGGAAAGGGGTCCGCCAGGCCTTTTGGCTAGGTGGATCATGTGGTAAACCTTTGTCCCTGTCAGGAGCCTTGCGCCCCGTGGGATCAGGGTAGAGGTGGTCGGCTTTGGCTAGCCACAAGGAAAGGGGTCCGCCAGGTCTTTTGGCTAGGTGGATCATGTGGTAACCTTTGTCCTTGTCAGGAGCCTTGCGCCCCGTGGGATCAGGGTAGAGGTGGTCGGCTTCGGCTAGCCACAAGGAAAGGGGTCCACCAGGTCTTTTGGCTAGGTGGACCATGTGGTAACCTTTGTTCCTGTCAGGAGCCTTGCGCCCCGTGGGATCAGGGTAGAGGGGGGGGGGGGTGGACTGAAGCACATCCCTAAGTGCACTTTCTTGTGTTTTGCACTTGCATATTTTTTGTTCACTTACGGATTTTAGTTTTTTTTTTGTGGTGCGCACTCCACAGACTAAAAAAAGAAAAAATTATTGGGTGATATTTCGGTTGTCATTAGAGTGGTCCACCGTGGTCTTTTGTTCTATTGTTTTGGGTAGTTTAACATCTTTTGTGGTGTTTCAAGAAAGATCTGAAGTCAAAACCCGCTTTTCCAGTTTTGAATGGGGAAAGAAACAATGGTCAGCTTTTTGCTACCCACAGGGGAAATTTCCTTTTATTCCCTGCATGGCCACAGGAAATGTTGGAAAATCTCCTCTGAAAGCAATACAAATCTGACCTTTTCCACTCTCCTTTCTATAGCACCGACCTATTCTGCAGCACTGTACAGGGAACATAGAACCAGATGCAGCAGTCGCTGTCATGAGTACTGACAAAATCTTACCGAGGATTTTAGTTTTACTATTTTTGTGGATTCGGCATTGCAAAGTCTGGCAGTTCCAGAGATCCAGAGCCTGTGATTCTCTTGACATATTCTTTTTTCTTTTCCACGCAGGCAGCGTCTCCTCGCAGCTCTCCCACCTGTCGGACCGAGGCTCTGTACATAACATCCCCGGCATGCTATTCGTCATCAGTGTTGTGTGAGTAAGACAGCCACCTACCTGCTACCTACCCACGGCATATGAATAACCTCCTCTACGGGGCTGGGTGCGTTCATAAATTTACTCCTTTCCCAGATGTCTCTGGCTGTGTGAATTCTCCACATTAATCTGAATTTCAGAGAGATATGGACTGGACCAGGAGCAAATCACTAGGCTTGGATGTTTAGTCTGGGGGTGCATAGGGGAAGGTGTACTACTCGGGGTACCCCCTTCCAAGCTGCCCTTTGTCTCTGCCCCCCCTACCCACCCCCGAGCACCATCCCTTGGTGTCACCACACCTACACCCCCCGGTACAGCCCTGTTAGAGAATACAGAGCCAAGTATCATTTTGTGGTGCTGCATTATGTAATGGAATTTGTAATTGATAACAAGAAAAGTAATAAAATAGATTCTCTGCAGCCAGCAACAGTAGACCCCCCCCAACAATAGAACCCCTAGGAACAAAATCCCCCCAGCAACAATAGAACCCCTAGCAACAATAGATCCACCCCATCAACAATAGTTTCCCCCCTCAACAGTAGATCCCTCCCTACAACATCTGACCACCCCAGCAATAAAATGTCTCCCAGCAGAGAGCAACTATTGACCCATCCCTCAACAGTAGATCCCTCCCAAAACAATATATCCCCCAGCAACAATAGCCCCTCTCGCAACAATCCCCCAGTAACAACAGATCCACCACAGCATCCATCAACAATAGACTGCTCCCTCAACAGTAGATCCCTCCCTAACAACAACTGACCACCCCAGCAATAATATGTCTCCCAGCAGAGAGCAACCATTGACCCATCCCTCAACAGTAGATCCCTCCCAAAACAATAGATCCCCCCAGCAACAATAGCTCCTCTCGCAACAACCCCCCCAGTAACAACAGATCCACCACAGCATCCATCAACAATAGACTGCTCCCTGAACAGTAGATCCCTCCCTACAACAACTGACCACCCCAGCAACAATATATCTCCCAGTAGACAGCAACTAATGACCCATCCCTTAACAGTAGATCCCACCCCCCAGCAACAATAGACCCTCTCGCAACAACCCCCCAGTAACAACAGATCCACCCCGTCAACTCTATATCTCCCAGCATCCATCAACAATAGACTGCTCCCTCAACAGTAGATCCCTCCCTACAACAACTGACCACCCCAGCAACAATATATCTCCCAGCAGCCAGCAATGATTGACCCATCCCTCAACATTATATCGCTCCCAGGAACAATAGATCCCCCCAGCAACAATAGACCCTCTCGTAACAACCCCCCCAGTAACAACAAACCACCCCAGAAAACTATATATCTCCCAGCATCCATCAATAATAGACTGCTCCCTCAACAGTAGATCCCTCCCTACAACAACTGACCCCCCAGCAACAATATATCTCCCAGCAGCCAGCAATGATTGACCCATCCCTCAACATTATATCGCTCCCAGGAACAATAGATCCCCCCAGCAACAATAGACCCTCTCGTAACAACCCCCCCAGTAACAACAGAACCACCCCAGAAACTATATATCTCCCAGCATCCATCATAATAGACTGCTCCCTCAACAGTAGATCCCTCCCTACAACAACTGACCCCCCCAGCAACAATATATCTCCCAGCAGCCAGCAATGATTGACCCATCCCTCAACATTATATCGCTCCCAGGAACAATAGATCCCCCCAGCAACAATAGACCCTCTCGTAACAACCCCCCCCAGTAACAACAGAACCACCCCAGAAACTCTATATCTCCCAGCATCCATCAATAATAGACTGCTCCCTCAACAGTAGATCCCTCCCTACAACAACTGACCCCCCAGCAACAATATATCTCCCAGCAGCCAGCAACTATTGACCCATTCCTCAACAGTAGATCGCTCCCAGCAACAATAGACCCTCTCGCAACACCCCCCCCCCAGTAACAACAGATCCTCCCCAGCAACTCTATATTTCCCAGCATCCATCAACAATAGACTGCTCCCTCAACAGTAGATCCCTCCCTACAACAACTGACCACCCCCAGCAACAATATATCTCCCAGCAGCCAGCAAATATTGACCCATTCCTAAACAGTAGATCCCTCCCAGGAACAATAGACCCTCCCCAGCAACAATAGACCCTCTCGCAACAACCCCCCAGTAACAATAGAGATCTTGCACATCATGAACCGAGGGGGGGGGGGGAAACAGTTTGACATCTTTGTCCTGGGAGTTGGATTGCCTTGTCCCGGCACTGTGCTGAATATACAAATTTCAGAACCGGCAGCATTGGAAATGCTTGATCTGATTGGCTGTCTCTCCAACTCTTCCTAAGGTGACCCCCTCGTAGTCATGTGATCCTGCTCTGTGACCCTTAACCTCTGGTTCCCTGTCTCCTTACAGCCTGATTATCCTGTTGGCCTTGAATCTAATGCTCTTCTACCGCCTGTGGTCTCTGGAGCACAGCGCCCGGACATTCCAGACTTGGCAGAGCTACGCCGTGTCCCAAGGGTAACTATATGCATTCAGCCATTCTGCCAAAGCCAATCTTGATTGGTCACACAAAGCCACATCGGCCTCTTCCTCCCCACAGGGAAGAAAAATAGATTTGAAATATTTTTTTAAAATATTCTTCCCAAATCTATTGACATATATTTGAAATACTACAATTTTGGCCGTATTCAATATACTTAAAAAAATAAATAAATAAATAATAATAAAAAAAAAATAAAAAAAAAATATATATATATATATATATATATATATATATATATATTTTTTTAAATATATTGAATATGGCCAAAATTGTGTATGTATGTATGTGTGTGTGTATATATCTATCTATATATATATATATACATATACATACATACATACATACATACACAATTTTGGCCATATTCAATATATTTAAAAAAAAAATAAAAAAATAAAAAAAAATATATATATGTATATAATCCATTTTTTATATATTCCAAAATATATGAAAATTATTTTTTTCAATATTTTTTTGAAATATATTCTTCAGATTTTTTTTTTTACATATAAAAAAGTCATTTTAACAAATATTTTTACATATATTTGTAAATGCATTCCAAAAATGTAGATTAAAAGTATTTTTAAAGACATACAGTATATTTAAAAATGTATTTGTAAAAATATTTTTCATATATTTTCTAATAAAAATGCATTTCAACATACAGCATATACCGTATTTTCCGGCGTATAAGACGACCCCCCCTACTTTTCCTGTTAAAATGTAGTGTTTGGGCTATACTCGCCGTATAAGACTACCCCTCTTCCAATGCACACCAGTGGGAAGAATCGTGCCCCATCATTGGTGTCAGTGGGAAGAATAGTGCCCCATCATTAGTATCAGTGGGAGGAATAGTGCCCAGTCATTGGTGTCAGTGGGAGGAATAGCACCCCATCATTGGTGTCAGTGGGAGGAATAGCACCCCATCATTGGTGTCAGTGGGAGGAAATAGTGTCCCATCATTGGTGTCAGTGGGAGGAATAGCACCCCATCATTGGTGTCAGTGGGAGGAATAGCACCCCATCATTGGCGTCAGTGGGAGGAATAGCACCCCATCATTGGTGTCAGTGGGAGGAATAGTGCCCCATCATTGGTGTCAGTGGGAGGAATAGTGTCCCATCATTAGTATCAGTGGGAGGAATAGTGCCCAGTCATTGGTGTCAGTGGGAGGAATAGCACCCCATCATTGGTGTCAGTGGGAGGAATAGCACCCCATCATTGGTGTCAGTGGGAGGAATAGCACCCCATCATTGGTGTCAGTGGGAGGAATAGCACCCCATCATTGGTATCAGTGGGAGGAATAGCACCCCATCATTGGCGTCAGTGGGAGGAATAGCACCCCATCATTGGTGTCAGTGGGAGGAATAGTGCCCCATCATTGGTGTCAGTGGGAGGAATAGTGCCCCATCATTGGCGTCAGTGGGAGGAATAGTGTCCCATCATTGGTGTCAGTGGGGGGTGGAATAGTGCCCCATCGTTGGTGTCAGTGGGGGGGGGGGGAATAGTGTCCCATCGTTGGTGTCAGTGGGGGGGGGAAGTGCCCCATCGTCGGTGTCAGTGGGAGGAATAATGCCCCATCATTGGTATCAGTGACACCAATGATGGGGCACTATTCCTCCCACTGACACTTGCTGACCCCTGTTCAGTATGGTGCTGCTGCAGCAAGCATATATGGTTGCAGCAGCACCTGTGCACGGCACACTTACCTTCACTTGATTTTCGCGGGGGCCGCTCGGCTCCGCCTCCTCCCCTTTTGATTGGCCGCCTGTGTGCCTTTCCCAAGCTACAGTTCTGGCGGCCAATCACCGGTGAGGAGGCGGAGCCGAGCAGCCGCACGAACATCCAGTGGCCGAACTGAAGGAAGGAGCAGCTGTGCTTCCTGGACCGGATCGTCGTGGGACCGGAGCCAGGTAAGAAACAGAAGCCCCTGCCTACCCCTGTACTTAGTTTCACTTCCGTTGGAAGGGGGGGGCGCACCCCCCCCCTAAAAAGTGTCAGCATGCCGTATACCGGCGTATAAGACGACCCCCGACTTTTGAGAAGATTTTCAAGGGGTCAAAAAGTCGTCTTATACGCCGGAAAATACGGTATATATATATATATATATATATATATATATATAATTTTTTTTTTTTTTAAATATATTGAATACAGCCAAAATTGTAAAATTCTCCAGAAAATTGTATAGTGTATGGCCAGCCTTAAAGGTGGCCATACATTATTCAATTTTCCTGAGATTTTTTCATTAGATTTACCAAAAACCATATAATAGGAGGTCAAACCTAAACAACGCTTTCAAATGTATCCCATTAGGCGGGCCCTCACACTACATAGTTGAAGGCAAATCTAAAGGAAATTGGACAGAAAATTGTATAGTGAATGGCCAGCCATACTAAAAAACTGGTGCACACAGAATCTGGTGCCGCTGTGCATAGTAACCAATCAGCTGCTAGCTTCAGATTGTTCAATCAAGCTTTGACAATAAAACCTGGAAGCTGATTGGTTTCTATGCAGAGCTGCATCAGACTCTGTGTGCTCCAGTTTTAGTAAGGCTCCCCATACACTATACAACTTTCTGCCCAATTTCCTTTAGATTTACCTTCAACTATGTAGTGCAAGAGACTGCCTAATTGGACCCAATTGAAATTGTTGTTTAACTTTGACCTCGTATAATATGGTTTTTGGTCAATCTAAAGCAAAATTCTCAAGAAAATTGTATAATGTATGGCTAGCCTTAGGCTGGCCATACACTATACAATTTTCTGTCCAATTTCTGCCCAATTTCCTTTAGATTTTCCTTCAACTATGTAGTGTAAGGGCCCGCCTAATGGGATACAATTGAAAGTGTTGTTTAACTTTGACCTTGTATTATATGGTTTTTGGTAAATCTAAAGCAATTTTGTAAAGAAAATTGTATAATGTATGGCCAGCCTAAGTCTCCCCCCCCCCCCCCCATCTGTCTCTATTCCTAGGAGGTTCCCGCAGACGTCGGCGGATTGGGCGGAGATACTTGAGCTACAGAAGCGTTTCCACAATGCCGAGGTTCAGAAATGGAAGCAGACACTCCAGGCCTCCGTACAGCTACTGGATGAGGTGAGGGCAACTGTGCATCTTCAGGCTCTGCAGTGCCAACAAGTCACAAAGCGAGAGGCTGCAGCAGGGGCTGACCTGTGTCAGACATTTGTGAACACCGCCAAGAACTGATTTTGTCATCTCGGCATCTCAGTCCAGGAAGTAGTTGGTGACCCTGGACAATGCTTGAATGAAGAGGGTGCTGTCCTTCTGGAGAGAAAAAGCACATGAAAGCATTTCATAGAATATATTTTATATATATTATAATAGAATATTAAACAATGGTCTTGTTTTATTTCTATATATATATACAGTGAAGGAAATGTTTATTTGCTCCCCTGCTGATGTTGAATGTTTGCCCCTCACACAGAAATGATCGGTCTAACAATGGAATGTTCGTGTATTGTAACACTGAGAGACAGAATACAACAACAAATTCAGCAGAAATGCGTCTATCAAATGATGACTGATCTGCATGTTCATGAGGGAAATAAGGATTTGATCCCCTTCACAAAACATGACTTAGTACTTGGTGGCAAATCCCTTGTTGGCAATCACGTTTCCTGGAGTTGGCCCCCAGGTTCGCACACATCTCAGGAGGGATTTTGGCCCACTCCTCTTGGCAGATCCTCTCCAAGTCATTAAGTTTGGTGGCTGACATTTGGCAACTCGAACTTTCAGCTCCCTCCACAGATTTTCAATTGGATGAAGGTCTGGAGACTGGCTAGGCCACTCCAGGACCTTAATGTGCTTCTTCTTGAGCCGCTCCTTTGTTGCCTTGGCCGTGTGTTTTGGGTCATTGTCATGCTGGAACACCCATCCACCACCCATTTTCAATGCCCTGGCTGAGGAAAGAAGGTTCTCACCCAAGATTTGAGGGTACATTGCCCCGTCCATCGTCCCTTTGATGCGGTGCAGTTGTCCTGTCCCCTTAGCAGAAAAACACCCCCAAAGCAGAATGTTTCCACCACCATGTTTCACAGTTGGGATGGTGTTCTTGAGGTCATAGGCAGCATTCCTCCTCCTCCAAACACGGCGAGTTGAGTTGATGCCAAAGAGCTTGATTTTGGTCTCATCTGACCACAACACTTTCCCACCAGTCCTCCTCTGCATCATTCAGATGTTCAGTGGCAGACTTCAGACGGTCCTGGACATGGCTTTCTTGAGCAGAGGGACCTTGCGGGCACTGCAGGATTTCAGTCCTTGTCGGCGTAGTGTGTTACCAATTGTTTTCTTGGTGACTGTGGTCCCAGCTGCCTGGAGATCATTGACAAGATCCTCACGTGTAGTTCTGGGATGATTCCTCACTGTTCTCATGATCATTGACACTCCACGAGGGGAGATCTTGCATGGTGCACCAGACCTAGGGAGACTGACACTTGTTTTGTGTTTCTTCCATTTGTGAATGATTGCACCAACTGTTGTCACCTTCTCACCAAGCTGCTTGGCCATAGTTTGGTAGCCCAGTCCAGCCTTGTGTAGGTCTACCATCTTGTCCCTGACATCCTTGGACAGCTCTTTGGTCTTTGCCATGGTGGAGAGTTTGGAATCTGATGGTTTGATGGCTCCTGTGGACAGGTGTCTTTTATACAGGTAACAAAATGAGATTAGCAGCACTCCCTTTAAGAGACTGCTTCTAATCTCAGCTTGTTACCTGTATGAGAGACACCTGGGAGCCAGAAATCCTGCTGAATGATAGGGGATCAAATCCTTCTTTCCCTCATGAACATGCAGATCAGTCATCATTTGTTAGACGCATTTCTGCTGAATTTGTTGTTGTATTCTGTCTCTCAGTGTTACAATACACCGAACATTCGATTTTTAGA